TCAACTCGCCGTGTTTGGAGGACAATGAATGCTGAGTTGCATCCAAAGAACACCATACCTACTGTGAAGCATGGGGGTGGAAACATCATGCTTTGGGGCTGTTTTTCTGCAAAGGGACCAGGACGACTGATCCGTGTAAAGGAAAGAATGATTGGGGCCATGTATCATGAGATTTTGAGTGAAAACCTCCTTCCATCAGCAAGGTCATTGAAGATAAAACGTGGCTGGGTCTTTCAGCATGACAATGATCCCAAACACACCGCCCAGGCAACGAAGGAGTGGCTTCGTAAGAAGCATTTCAAGGTCCTGGAGTGGCCTAGCCAGTCTCCAGATCTCAACCCCATAGAAAATCTTTGGAGGGAGTTGAAAGTCCGTGTTGCCCAGCGACAGCCCCAAAACATCACTGCTCTAGAGGAGATCTGCATGGAGGAATGGGCCAAAATACCAGCAACAGTGTGTGAAAACCTTGTGAAGACTTACAGAAAACATTTGACCTGTGTCATTGCCAACAAAGGGTATATAACAAAGTATTGAGAAACTTTTGTTATTGACCAAATACTTACTTTCCACCATAATTTGCAAATAAATTCATTAAAAATCCTACAATGTGATTTTCTGGATTTTTTTTCTTCTCATTTTGTCTGTCATAGTTGACGTGTACCTATGATGAAAATTACAGGCCTCTCTCATCTTTTTAAGTGGGATAACTTGCACAATTGGTGGCTGACTAAATACTTTTTCCCCCCACTGTATTATGGACACAGTATGCTTTACATGAGTTATCTTGTTGTTATTAGTTGTTGTTAGTTGTTATTAGTCCCATCCTTCAACTTCATTCAACACCACCCATCTATCTCTTAACACCATCCATATAGGATTTCTATTTGCCATATATATTTCAACTGTACTGTGATGTTTTACAAAAGTTCTGAACCTTTCTATTCGCATTGTTTTTACAGATTGTAAATTGAAAAACATTTTTTGGGTGAAAAGTATTATTATATTATTGATCGATTCACTATGACTTTTCAGATCACCCAGTAGTGCTATCTGAAGGGTTAGCTCCAGGTAAATATTGCAATCCTTTAGCCATTCCTGGACCTGTGTCCAAAAACAAGCTACAAATGGACAGTACCAAAACAAATGATCTAATGATTCTGTCTCTTCGCAAGCAAAATCTGCAGAGCTGGGAAGATTGTATCCCCCATATAAATAACATTCTATTGGTAGCAAGAATTTTATATAATAATTTTAATTAAAACATTCTAAGTTTTGATCCCGGCGTCGTTTTGCGTATCAGTTCATAAACACTATGCCATGGAATCGGTACGTCAAAGATCTCTTCCCAACTATTTGCAATCTATATGGGATGGCTGTCAATCCTTTGGTCCTTAAATGAAACTGGTATACTTTTTTATTTATCACAATTTTCTTTAACCAATTATGTTCTTTAATGCAAGGCTGACAGACAAGTTCCTTACTTTCTCCCCCTTCCACTTTCTTCTTCCATTTTTGCGGTAAGGCTGCAATTATTTGGTTGTAATTTTGGGTAGAGCAGACATTTCCATATGTTTTTGTTAGCTGCATGTGCGACATAACTCCACCAGTCCTACCTATGATATAATTTATGAAGATTATACCTTTTTTAAACATTTTGTCAAAAAATAATGTTTTTTTCTCAATTAGTATATTTGAGTTTAACCACAATATTTGTTGTATTATTTGTTCTGTCGTTTCTGGAGGATTAAATTGAAATTGCAACCAACTTTGTATGGCTTGTTTTAAAAATGGGAAAAAGGCCATTCTTGAACATTGGGTGAGACAATCTTACTAATTTGCTAGAGAACCAGTTTGGATTTAAGTATTACTTTTGTATGACTGAAGCTTTTAGTGATAGGTCTAATGCTTTAATATTTAATAATTTCTGTCCTCCGAATTCATATTCATTATATAAATAGGCCCATTTAATTTTGTCTGGCTTGCCGTTCCAAACAATTAGAATATTTTTTTCTCATTTAATTTAAAAAACTGTTCGCTAGACGTAGGCAAGACCATAAGCAAATAGGTAAACTGAGATAATACTAAAGAGTTAATCAGGGTGATTTTTCCACAAATTGACAAGTATTTACCTTTCCATGGTAGCAATATCTTATCTATTTTTGCTAACTTTCTATTAAAGTTTATTGGAGTGAGATCATTTATTTCATGTGGGATATGTATTCCGAGTATATCCACATCACCATCAGACCATGTTATTGGTAAACTACATGGTAATGTAAAAATTGTATTTTTTAGTGATCCAATACATAATATAGTACATTTATCATAATATGGTTGTAATCTAGAGAGGTTAGAAAATGTATCTAGATCCTCAATGAGGCTGTTGTGGATTTAAAAGAAAACATGAATCATCAGCGTACAATGACACCTTTGTTTTTAAGTCCAGTGCCCCTTTCCTTCCTCCTCTACGCCCTCTTTTCCTTCCTCCTTTCCTTCCTATTTTCCTTCCTCCTTTCCTTCCTCTTTTCCTTCTTCCTTTCCTTCCTCTTTTCCTTCCTCTTTTACTTCCTCCTTTCCTTCCTCCTTTCCTTCCTCCTTTTGGTTTCTTTTATTTACCACAGTGGCCTTTGGTTGTGTGTTATAAATCTGTGTAATGAATTCCCTCTGCTGGCTAAGCCTCAGCGCTCTGTGTTGCTCTGGGTGCTTGGACCCTTGTTATTGTCTCGTTATCCTCACCTCCCAGTCTATTGGACTTGCTGACACAGTGCAGGTTCAGCATTTTGCTGAATATTTGGAGCTGTGCGAGTGTGTGTGTGTGTGTGTGTGTGTGTGTGTGTGTGTGTGTGTGTGTGTGTGTGTGTGTGTGTGTGTGTACTGCATCCTGTTTCTGCGTGTAAAAGATGCTATTAACCCTTTACACTCGTGAGATTGAAAATGTTGAAATGTTTCTTACAGAAGAAATATGAAATGCATAACCATGGTAGCAATTGAAAGAGAACAGTTTGGAGATTATGGGGAAATTATTAGACCAAAGGAGCGGACACAACAGTTCACCTGACACAAAACTTTATCCAAACATTAAACTGTTGATTTTATGTGCATTTTACATTTACTGTACTTTTCGCTGCATTTGTTATTAATGAAATCTGAAAATACTCTGGCTACATTCAGTAACTAGATAAGAATATTCCTGGAAAGTGTGGGGCAGGTGCAACATAAGACAAAAACATTACAAGGGTTTGAGTGAGAAGACTAACTGGTGTCTCCAAGTGGCCACACACCTCTCCAATGTGTGCACAGTTCTTCAGTAATTTTTTTCTTCAACTATAAGGTGCGTTTTTGAGCTCTCCTAGCTGGGCCGTTGAGGAACTATAGCAAGCACACTTGTAGTTGTTTTGTTTGGACACAACCCTGCATCCCCGCATTCACACAATTACTGTTGTTGCTTACGCAATACAAAACAGTCCATTATACATCACAATTTGGGTCAGGTGGGCATCATTTGAATGCTTGTTCTACTGCCAACATGACTAGCTAAATTATAAAATACAATATTACAGTGTTAGGCTTTCACAATGCAATTCAGGGAAACAGATCATAATTTTGGTGCGCATAAAAAGAAGTCTTCACAATAGACAAAAATAGGCTAATTCTGTTCAGAACAACCCAGCCATGTCATATTGTAACTGTAACTGTACATCAATCATAGTGATCATAACTGTTGACACTATATATGGAAATGTGAAGCACAGGCTTGCTTGTATGACATCAAAGCGGTATTCATTATAATCATCAACGTCTCAGCTTTCAAAATACACAAAGTCCTCTTCATTTACAACATTTCACTCACTCAGACAAAAAAGTATCAAAAGTTGCCCAATTAGCAGAACACCTGTCAGTCAAAACCCATACAGTGCTGTGAAGAGCAGAAGCAGAGCTCTGACGTCATATACAGCATGCTACTGTACAACCACTGCTTTCCAATTTAGGAGTTGACCAAATCTGCCATTTTCAACACGTGAACGGGTATGAGTATAAAGGGCTACTGGCACTGACAGATGCCATTTGTTTTCACGTCACAATGTGAGGAAAGGCTTTTATTGGCTGTTGGCTGCAGTGGCCCAGGAGCTGTCAGCTGGTTTTAGAGGCCGATTAGTCTGGAGGAAGAGGGAGTGGAGACGCAGAGCCACCGGACTCTGTCTGCAGCCACCCCACACCTTAGATCAGCTCAAATGACTGGCAGTACGCAGATCAGGGCCCTTATTCATAAAGTGTCTCAGAATAGGAGTGCTGATCTAAGACAAGTTTTCCCTTTTAGGTGATAATGAATTAGATTATATGGACAGGGAGGACCTGATCCTAGATTAGCACTCCTACTCTGAGAAATGTTGTGAGGGATATATCTATCTGTGATTAGGTGACTATTCCTGACTATTTACTGGAGCTTGCTTCCTCTCATTCTTCTGAGCGGAAACAAACCCTCAAACCGTATTCAATTCTAGCATATGCCTGAGATGGAAATAGAAGTGCACTATTCTTGCTCCCTCTCACTCTTTAATTTTCTAACTCAACCCCCTGGTAGAGAAAACATAAATGTTGGAAGAAAAGCTTGTGGAGCGATTTGAAAGTCTTGAAATGCATGCACAAAAAACTGGCTGCTATATTTAGATAACATTGAAGGACAGAATAAAGAGATGAATAAGGCTACCTGTGTCAACATCACTGTCTGTTCTCATCTGCTGAGGGGTGCCAAAAGTCATTCTCATCAGCTTTAGACAATGACTATGCGTGCGTAACTAATTATCTCCCTCTCTCTCTATGTCTCTCTGTTTGTCTGTTCTGGGTTTGTGTGTGTGTGTGTGTGTGTGTCCGCAGAGCTTATATATCGTCAGTAGCAGTTAGATGCGTCTGCCCCCTTGTCTGTGACGATGACGATGAAAGGCTTGTCGAGTAGTCGGAGACACCATCACACGGTGACCTGTGACCCCTCCTATGACTCCATGACCCTGGGGCGCCAAGCCCGGCCCTACCCGCTGAACCCGGGCAATGCCCACCCGGCGGACCAACCTTACTATGCCCAGCGAAGCTCCTTCCAGTCTGAGTGCGGGCCCTACCCTGACCCGGCTAGCAGCACCTTCCCCCGAAGACACTACAGCTCCCACCACGAACTGAAGGATGAGTGTGCTGTGGTGCCTTACACCGGAGGCCAGGGGGGAAGCGTTAAGGGGGGCGGTGGTGGTGGTGGCAGCTGCAACAACAACCGCATCCCCCCCAACCTTCTGGAGCAGTTTGAACGGCAGGCACCAGTGCGCCACGACGGCTACCACACACTGCAGTACAAGTGCACAGCAGTGGAGCACCAACGAAGCGACAGTCCTGGGAGGATCAGGCATCTTGTCCACTCGGTCCAGAAGCTCTTCACCAAGTCCCACTCCCTGGAAGGCCCGTCCGGGGATAGGATGAACGGGGGCAAGGCCAGCCCTGACGACCCGCCCTCCCACTCGGGCACCCTGAAGCACAGCAGCAAGCGCAGCAAGAGCAAAGACCGCAGCAGGTCGGAGCCCAAGATGCGCTCTGCCATCTCGGGCTACTGGAGTTCGGACGACACCCTGGACCGCGAGGTGTGCCTGTACCACCATCACAGCCCCATCCCTGGAGGCATGCCCTCGGGGGTGATGACCATGGGCCGCCACCCAGGCAAGTCCCAGTCGCAGTACTTCATGGAGCAGTACAACACCATCAGCGCCCACTCGCTGAAGACGTCACGAAGCAACAACGACGTCAAGTGTTCCACGTGCGCTGGGTTGCCAGGCCTGGGCATGGGGATGGACGGGACTGGCCAGCTGATGAAGAAGAGCTTGTGGTCGTCAACGCTGACGGTCAGTAGGGCCAGGGAGGTCTACCAGAAGGCATCGGTCAACCTGGACAAAGCCCTGGTCAAGGCTGAGACCTGCAAGCAGGGAGGGCGCCAGACCTGTCAGTTCCTCCAGGTATGACAACAACCCTTCTTCACCTCCAAACCTCCATCTTCACACCTCCATCTCCATTCATCCATCCATTCATCCATATCCTCCCAGAGATTCATATGCGTCGTGTGTGGAGACACCTGGCCGACTGCATGTCCACTTGTCCCTTGAGGCAGAGAGAAAGCGGTAGAGGAGGGGCAGACTTACTCTCTCTCTATCGCTATCCATGTCCTCGCAGACTGATATGTGAAGTGGAGGCCCCTGCATGTCCACTGTCCCTTAAGGCAGAGAGAGAGGAGAGGAGGAGCAGACTTACTTTCTCTCTCTATCAGACACGCTTAGGGGACATAAGTGTTGCATGTGAGATGTCCTCATAAGTGTTGAATGTGAGATAAATCAAATCAACATTTATTTGTTGCATACACTGATTTAGCAGATCTTAATAAAGCAGGTGCAGCTAAATGCTTTTGTTCCTAACTCCAGCAGTGCAGTAAATGTCTAACAGTACAATACTAATACACAAATAATCCCAAGAAAAAGAAAAGAAAAAAAGAGATTAAGAAATATCAGAACAAGCAATATCAGAATGAGCAATGTCAGAGTCCAGGATATAGAAATGTAGTGTGTATGGACAATATATAAGTAGGAATAAGGTTGTACAGCAGTAGTTATATAGGATGAGCTGTGACGAGAATACAGTGTGTACATACAGTATAAAGTGAGTAAATCAATTAGATACATTTTTCAGAGATCAAATTTCCACAGAATAATGTTGCATGAATGTTAGTTTCTGTAGGAACAGATAAGATTATTTCAGAACAATAAGCATTATGTTAACATTATTAAACATTATCTTCATTTGTGTTGAATGTGAGACGTCCTCATTTGTGTCAAATGTGAGACGTCCTCATTTGTGTCAAATGTGAGACGTCCTCATTTGTGTCAAATGTGAGACGTCCTCATTTGTGTCAAATGTGAGACTTCATCTTCCTCACCTGTTAAACATCATGCATCCTATTCCATATCATCCCTGGTTGTGGACCCCATTCCATTTATCTCATGTCCTTTACATTGTTACATGTCTGTTTATTTGTAATGTCTTGTGATAGCTGATTTGGTTCTGGGTGCTGAGATACAGTGCCTTCTGAAAGTATTCAGACCCCTTGACGTTTTCCACATTTTGTTAGGTTACAGCCTTATTCTACAAATGTTTTGTTTTTTTATCCTCATCAATCTACACACAATATCCCATAATAACAAAGCAAAAACCGTTTTTTTTTTTACATATTTGCTAATCTATTAAAAATAAAAAACTGAAATATATCATTTACATAAGTATTCAGACCGTTTACTCAGCAATTTGTTGAAGCACCTTTGGCAGTGATTACAGCCTTGATTCTTATTGGCTCTGACGCTATAAGCTTGGCACACCTGTATTTGGGGAGTTTCTCTCATTCTTCTCTGCAGTTCGTCTCAAGATCTGTCAGGTTGGATGGGGAGTGTTGCTGCACAGCTATTTTCAGGTCTCTCCAGAGATGTTTGATCGGGTTCAAGTCCGGGCTCTGGCTGGGCCACTCAAGGACATTCAGAGACTTGTCCCGAAGCCACTCCTGCGTTGTCTTGGCTGTGTGCTTATGGTTGTTGTCCTGTTGGAAGGTGAACCTTCGCCCCAGTCTGAGGTCCTGAGCGCTCTGGAGCAGGTTTTCATCAAGGACCTCTCTGTACTTTGCTCTGTTAATCTTTGCCTCGATCCTGACTGGTCTCCCAGTCCCTGCTGCTGAAAAACATCCCCACAGCATGATTCTGCCACCACCATGCTTCACCGTAGGGATGGTGCCAGGTTTCCTCCAGACGTGATGCTTGGCTTTCAGGCCAAAGAGTTCAATCGTGGTTTCATCAGACCAGAGAATCGTGTTTCTCATGGTCTGAGAGTCTTTAGGTGCCTTTTGGCAAACTCCAAGCGGGCTGTCATGTGCCTTCTACTGAAGAGTGGCTTCCTTCTGGCCACTCTACCATAAAAGCCTGATTGGTGGAGGACTGCAGAGATGGTTGTCCTTCTGGAAGGTTCTCCCATCTCCACAGAGGAACTCTAGAGCTCTGTCAGAGTAACCATTGGGTTCTTGGTCACCTCCCTGACCAAGGCCCTTCTCCCCCGATTACTCAGTTTGGCCGGGCGGCCAGCTCTAGGAAGAGTGTTGGTGGTTCCAAACTTCTTCCATTTAAGAATGATGGAGGCCACTGTGTTCTTGCGGACCTTCAATGCTGCAAACATTTTTTGGTACCCTTCCCCAGATCTGTGCCTCGACACAATCCTGTCTCGGTGCTCTACGGACAATTCCTTCAACCTCATGGCTTGGTGTTTGCTCTGACATGCACTGTCAACTGTGGGACCTTATATAGACAGGTGTGTGCCTTTCCAAATCATGTCCAATCAATTGAATTTACCACAGGTGGACTCCAATCAAGTTGTACAAACATATCAAGGATGATCAATGGAAACAGGATGCGCCTGAGCTCAATTTCGAGTCTCATAGCAAAGGGTCTGAATACTTATGTAAATAAGCTATTTTTATTTTTTATAAATTTGTAAAAATGTCTAAACCTGTTTTCGCTTTGTCATTATGAGGTATGGTGTGTGGATTACAGAGGATTTGTATTTATTTTATCAATTTTAAAATAAGGCTGTAACGTAACAAAATGTGGAAAAAGTCAAGGGGTCTGAATACTTTCCAAAGGCACTGTAAGTGTGTTTGTTCTTGTAGATGTCCATGTAGAATGATTACTTGTGGAGTCATTACTTATGTATACCTACTGGATTAGCCTTTAAGCTGATATTTTACAATCACTGCATGCAGTATATTTACTTGGAAATCAGCATTATCCCATACACAGTACCTGTAGCCTCTCTTACACAGTAGCTTCCATATTCACATTGTGGTGTGTCTTAAATTACACCTTATTCTCTATATACAGTGGGAAGAACAAGTATTTGATACACTGCCGATTTTGCAGGTTTTCCTACTTACAAAGCATGTAGAGGTCTGTAATTGTTATCATAGGTACACATCAACTGTGAGAGACGGAATCTAAAACAAAAATCCAGAAAATCACATTGTATCATTTTTAATTAATTATTTTGCATTTTATTGCATGACATAAGTATTTGATCACCTACCAACCAGTAAGAATTCCGGCTCTCACAGACCTGTTAGTTTTTCTTTAAGAAGCCCTCCTGTTCTCCACTCATTACCTGTATTAACTGCACCTGTTTGAACTCGTTACTTGTATAAAATACACCTGTCCACACACTCAATCAAACAGACTCCAACCTCTCCACAATAGCCAAGACCAGAGAGCTGTGTAAGGACATCAGGGATAAAATTGTAGACCTGCACAAGGCTGGGATGGTCTACAGGACAATAGGCAAGCAGCTTGGTGAGAAGGCAACAACTGTTGGCGCAATTATTAGAAAATGGAAGAAGTTCAAGATAACGGTCAATCACCCTCGGTCTGGGGCTCCATGCAAGATCTCACCTCGTGGGGCATCAATGATCACGAGGAAGGTGAGGGATCAGCCCAGAACTACACGGCAGGACCTGGTCAATGACCTGAAGAGAGCTGGGACCACAGTCTCAAAGAAAACCATTAGTAACACACTACGCCGTCATGGATTAAAATCCTGCAGTGCATGCAAGGTCCCCCTGCTCAAGCCAGCGCATGTCCAGGCCCATCTGAAGTTTGCCAATGACCATCTGGATGATCCAGAGGAGGAATGGGAGAAGGTCATGTGGTCTGATGAGACCAAAATAGAGCTTTTTGGTCTAAACTCCACTCGCCGTGTTTGGAGGAAGAAGAAGGATGAGTACAACCCCAAGAACACCATCCCAACCATGAAGCATGGAGGTGGAAACATCATTCTTTGGGGATGCTTTTCTGCAAAGGGGACAGGACGACTGCACCTTATTGAGGGGAGGATGGATGGGGCCATGTATCGCGAGATCTTGGCCAACAACCTCCTTCCCTCAGTAAGAGCATTGAAGATGGGTCGTGGCTGGGTCTTCCAGCATGACAACGACCCGAAACACACAGCCAGGGTAACTAAGGAGTGGCTCCGTAAGAAGCATCTCAAGGTCCTGGAGTGGCCTAGCCAGTCTCCAGACCTGAACACCATAGAACATCTTTGGAGGGATCTGAAAGTCTGTATTGCCCAGCGACAGCCACGAAACCTGAAGGATCTGGAGAAGGTCTGTATGGAGGAGTGGGCCAAAATCCCTACTGCAGTGTGTGCAAACCTGGTCAAGACCTACAGGAAACATATGATCTCTGTAATTGCAAACAAAGGTTTCTGTACCAAATATTAAGTTCTGCTTTTCTGATGTATCAAATACTTATGTCATGCAATGAAATGCAAATTAATTACTTAAAAATCATACAATGTGATTTTCTGGATTTTTGTTTTAGATTCCGTCTCTCACAGTTGAAGTGTACCTATGATAAAAATTACAGACCTCTACATTCTTTGTAAGTAGGAAAACCTGCAAAATCGGCAGTGTATCAAATACTTGTTCTCCCCACTGTAGTGCACTATTCTTGACCAGGGCCCTATGGGAATCATGTGCCATTTGGCACACGGATATAGTGTGAAAGAGCTGGAGTGGTAGAAGGGCTGCTGACGTGAGATGAGAGAGGGAAAAACAGAACTACTGAAAAGAGGAGAAAAGCACATATCCCCTAGCCTGGTGGCACCACTATGCTCTCTCTGTTTGTTTGGGAGAAGATGAAAGAGGAAGGGATTCAACTCAGATACATCCCCTCATCTGACTTGGTGAGCTGCAAACAGAAGGGGGCAGGAGAGAAAGAGAGGGACTGAGAGAGAGAGCGAGAATGAGAGACAGAGGGAGAATGGGGACTGAGAGAGAGAGAGGGAGAATGGGGACTGAGAGAGAGAGAGGGAGAATGGGGACTGAGAGGGAGAATGGTGACTGAGAGAGAGGGAGAATGGGGACTGAGAGATAGAGGGAGTTAGAAAGAATGTAAATGTAAACATATGTTTCATATGATGACATTTGAACACGCAACCTTTGGGTTGCTAGACGTTTGCATTATACGGTGACCCATCCACCCCTACCAACCCCCCTACTTTCATTTTTGCCTTAAATAACCTTCTGTCTTATGTAACCATACCAAACATAACATATCATACCATTTTGAGTGTCCCGGATTTACATTTACTATGTAACATCTAGTCTATGAGACCAGGATGCACGCACGCACACACACACATACACACACACACACAAACACACTGATGCTCAGCCAGCCAAACACCTCCCAATGTATCTCGGCCAGGGTCAAAGTTCATCGGCAGTGTATTGAACCTCTTTAAAATGGCCGTACAGTGCTTCTGTACCTTAGTTTGCATACAGATTTTTCTCGGCCATTCCAGCTCAGCTTTATTTGGCAGGGTGTTCTTTTAGTTTCTGTTATAGATGATGAGAGACATTGGTGTAACATTGGTCTCATTCGAGTCCTCATCAGACCCTAGATGTCGTCGTTTTTGCTTGTTCGCCCCTGACGTCAAGGACAAGTGGTCTCCCTAGCTACCGGCCTGTTGAATGATTCTCCTGCCGTTGATTATTCAGACTCTTCGTCTCCATCCCAAATGGCACCCTATTCCATAGTGCACTACTTTTGACCAGAGCATTATGGGCCTTGGTCAAAAGTAGTGCACTATAGAGGGAATATGGTACAATTTGGGATGCATATTTCTCTCTGAAACTCTCCTCTCTCCCTTTCACCTCCACGTTAGCTCCCCTAAAAGCCACTCACATTGGAGACCAGCGCAGTGCTTGGCGGAACAAAACCTCCTTTGTTTTTCTCTCTCTCTTTCTTGCGGCGGCAGAGAGAGGGAGAGGGAGAGGGCTTCTTTGCTTGCCTCTTTTTTACACATTCATTAGAGTGTGTGAAAAGCACAGCACAGCCACTGCACAGACAGACAGGGTTTTTAGTCCAAACAATTCACTCCTCAGTTTGATATGCGTCACTGGGAGGGAGCAGCACAACGGAGGGCCTCTAGTCTCTACACCCTGATGGTATGGTTTTAATACACCCTAATCAGGTGAACATTAGCGCTTAGTGGTGTGACTTTAGCGGCTTGCTGTATATAGAGCCTTGTTTGGATGGTGACCTGAGGCTGGGAAAGGGTCCGGGAGCGGTCATAGTGTTTTGTCTGGTGGGTCATCACTGTGATATAAGTCACCGCCCTGTTCTCACGGTCTCCGCCCCACAGGTACCCCAGGACGAGTGGAGTGGGGGGTTCTCTCCCCTGGGGAAGGACGAGGAGATCCCATGCCGGCGTATGCGCAGCGGCAGCTACATCAAGGCCATGGCAGAGGAAGACAGCGGCGACTCAGACTGCAGCCCCAAGCCCTCGCCCAAGGTGCAGGCGCGCCGGGCCAGCTACCTGAAGGCCACACAGCCATCACTCACCGAGATGACCACCCTCAAGTGAGTAGATACGTACACTGTAAGACGTTTCTGTAATTTCAACAGTAAAACACTGTAGAATGCACAGTAAAATACCTTAAATGTGTTTTACAGAATTAATTATGGTGCATTGTGGGGAAATGTTGTGGATGGGGAAAGAGCCTCTGACTCATTAACCTCTTAAGGATCGGACCCTTTTTTTCAATTTTTGTCTAAAATTACATACCTAAATCTAACTGCCTGTAGCTCAGGACCTGAAGCAAGGATATGCATTTTCTTGATGCCATTTGAAAGGAAACACTGAAGTTTGTGGAAATGTGAAATTAAAGTAGGAGAATATAATACATTAGATCTGGCAAAAGATAATACAAACAACAAAAAAACATGTGTTTTCTATTTATTTATTTATTTTTTATCATCTTTGAAATGCAAGAGAAAGGCCATAATATCATATAGGAGTTTAGGCGCAATTTCGATATTGGCCACTAGATGGTAGCAGTGTGTGAAAGGTTTCAGATTGTGTTTTATTTATTTATTTAACTAGGCAAGTCAGTTAAGAACAAATTCTTATTTACAATGACGACCTACACCGGCCAAACCCGGACGACGCTGGGCCAATTGTGCGCCGCCCTATGGGACTCCCAGTCACGGCCGGTTGTGATACAGCCTGGAATCGAACCAGGGGGTCTGTAGTGACGCCTCAAGCACTGAGATACTGAGATGCAGTGCCTTAGACCACTGCGCCACTCGGGAGATTGATCCAGTGAAGCATTGCAATACTGGACAATTTTGTATAAAGTCTGCCCAAATGTGCCGAATTGGTCAATTGATACATTTTCAAGTACATAACTATAGAGAACATACAGAAATTATATGGTAATACAAAATGTAAGTTTACACACCCCCAGGAATGTCATACAATATGGATCATTAGCTTATATACTAACTTTCACATATCTAGATGGCCAGGTGGGGTGAGTGTGGAGCCAGAGACAGCAAGGGTTCAAACTGTAGAACCCAGTTCCTACATTTGAATACAAAAATTGATTTTTAGAAAACAAAACTATGCTACATTTTATCTCTGGGACCCTTAGGATGCCAAATCAGAGCAAGATTACTGAATGTAAGTACATTATTTACCTTCAGAGGTGAATGTATCAAACCAGTTGCTGTGATACGTTTTCTTATTGTTGTGCACTCTCCTAAAACAATAGCATGGTATTTTTTCACTGTAATAGCTACTGTAAATTGGACAGTGCAGTTAGATTGGAAAGTTTGCTATTACTTATAACAGTCATGCTAATCACATTAGCGCACGTTAGCTCAACCATCCCGTATACGGGACACAAATCCCATAGAGGTTAACACATTTTGTGCCTTGTAAAAGGCTCCATTTGTTGCACCTGTGAGTGAGAATGCTGCACCTCCACATAATACAGTAATATGCTGCATTTTGGGAATTCTACAAACCTTGTCCTGAAAATCTACAGTAACTCACCGGCCAATTACTTTCAGTAATTTACTGTAATTCAGAATACAGTGTCATAACGCATTCGAGTCAAAAGTTTGGACACCCCTACTCATTCAAGGGGTTTCTATAATTTTACTATTTTCTACATTGTAGATAATAGTGAAGACATTAAAACTATGAAATAACATTTTTGGGATCATGTAGTAACCAAAAAAGTGTTAACAAGATTTTATATTTGAGATTCTTCAAATAGCCACCCTTTTCCTTTATGACAGCTTTGCACACTCTTGACATTCTCTCACCCAGCTTCACCTGGAATGCTTTTCCAACAGTCTTGAAGGAGTTCCCACATATGCTGAGCACTTGTTGGCAGTTTTCCTTCACTCTGCCGTCCGACTCCCAAACCATCTCAATTGGGTTGAGGTCGGGGGATTGTGGAGGCCAGGTCATCTGATGCAGCACTCCATCACTCTACTTCTTGGTAAAATAGCCCTTACACAGCCTGGAGGTGTGTTGGGTCATTGTCCTATTGAAAAAAAATATATAGTCCCACTAAGCCCAAACCAGATGGGATGGCATATCACTGCAGAATGCTGTGGTAGCCATGCTGGTTAAGTGTGCCTTGAATTCTAAATAAATCACAGACAGTGTCACCAGCAAAGCACCCCCACACCATAACACCTCCTCCTCCATGCTTTATGGTGGGAACTACACATGCGGAGTTCATTCGTTCACCCACACCGCGTCTCACAAAGCCACGGCGGTTGGAAACAAAAATCTCAAATTTGGACCCCAGACTAAAGGACACATTTCCACCAGTCTAATGTCCATTGCTCGTGTTTCTTGGCCCAAGCAGGTCTCTTCTTATTATTGGTGTCCTTTAGTAGTGGTTTCTTTGCAGCAATTCGACCATGAAGGCCTGATTCACAAAGTCCCCTCTGAACAGTTGATGTTGAGATGTGTCTGTTACTTGAACTCTGTGAAGCATTTATTTGGGCTGCAATTTCTGAGGCTGGTAACTCTAATGAACTTATCCTCTGCAGCAGAGGTAACTCTGGGTCTTCCATTCCTGTGGCGGTCCTCATGAGAGCCAGTTTCATCATAGCGCTTGATGGTTTTTGCGACTGCACTTGAAGAAACTCAAAGTTCTTGACATTTTGTCATTTCTCTTTGCTTATATGAGCTTTTGCCATAATATGGACTTGGTCTTTTACCAAATAGGGCTATCTTCTGTATACCCCCCTACCTTGTCACAACACAACTGATTGGCTCAAATGCATTAAGAAGGAAATAAATTCCACAAATTAACTTTTTAAGAAGGCACACCTGTTAATTTAAATGCATTCCAGGTGACTACCTCATGAAGCTGGTTGAGAGAATGCCAAGAGTGTGCAAAGCTGTCATCAAGGCAAAGGGTGGCTACTTTGAATAATTGCAAATATAAAATATATTTTGATTTGTTTAACACTGTTTTGGTTACTACATGATTCCAAATGTGTTATTTCATAGTTTCGATGTCTTCACTATTATTCTAAAATAGTAAAAATAAAGAAAAACCCTTAAATTAGTAGGTGTGTCCAAGCCTTTAACTGGTACTGTATATATACTGTATATGTTTTTGTGTGTGTGTGTATACATGTCTGTCTGTCTGTCTGTCTCTGTCTGTCTGTCTGTCTGTCTGTCTGTCTGTCTATCTATGTCCTTAATCAGTATAAAGGAGGAAATGTTGCTTACTTGTTTAGCAAAATCAAAGCTGTAATGCATCCTGATGTCTTTGCTTGCTGGTTCAGTAGGGCCCCCCAGAGACAACTGCAGTTCTTGACAGGTGATTTTGCAGTCAGCAACCATCTTCTGGTAGACAGACCGTTCACTCTGAACAAGCAGGAGATGCTGCTCTTAATTCTTCAGCTTGGCTGACTTAACAGCTTCTGGCAGATTGGCAGATCTGACGACCTTATAGTTGTTCCTCTGGCACTGCCAGTACAGGTCTGTCCTGGGCTTAGTGCTTGAGATGTGGGGCAGCAATTTTCTCCACAAATTCCTGAAGGAAGACAGCCCGACTACACAGAAGTTGATATGCCATACAGAAGTATTGTGAGATCAATAAATGCAGTGCCAATCATGTTGGAGGTAAATTAAATAATCAAAACGTGTTGTTCATGCTTTACATACCATGTGTTGTCATCGATTCCTTGTAGAGACGCCACACTGCTGCTTTTGTCACATGAGATGGCAGCAGCTTTCCACCAAAGTGTTTGTGTCCTGGGTGGCATCCTGTTAATACTATTGCATTATCCTCTGTGTAGTTGTTGATGAAGTTCACAACTCGCTGCAAGTCCTCATGCTTCAGGTGTAACCTGTGCTTGCTTGGGCCAGCTCTCTTTTTGATGGGAGACATTAGACCATTCTCCTTGTATGACTAGTGGAGGAGAGTCAGGAGTGTTCTACTGATGCTGAAAGACACATTTTAGATACAAATATTTTAGAGTTTTATACAATAGAGAGCCGTAATCACCGTCAGACACACCTGGCTAACTTGATGGGTCATGTAATCATCTGGTGAAGTGGAGTCATTTGTTTAGACATGTAGCTAGCTAGCTAAACAATGAACTATAATCCCAATAACTAGCAATGGAAATGGCTTACTGAGATAATAAGAATACACAGATCATACGCATAATGTTAGCTAGTGAGCCAGCCATCTAACATCAGCTCGCTAGCTAACAATACGCTTTAACTTGGGGTCTTTTGTTTAGACATGTGCCTAGCTAGCTAGCTAAACAATTAACCATAATCCCAATCCATAGAGTACTAGCAATACAAACTAATTGTCATAGCTAGCTAAGGTTAACCAAATAGGTTCAATGTTAGCTAGTTATTATTTGAGAACATTTTTAAAAACTGACCCCGCTGACGCTGTACATTAAAGTGTGACATGTCACGATATTCAGTCATTCTGTGCCGGACAGCCTCTTTCCACCAGGTGTAGCGCTTCCCTTGCAGATTTAAAAACAAGAAATGATCAATGGTGAGTGTAATGGTGAGTGTAAAGTTAATTACTTGTGAGTTTGTCAATAGTTAATTAAATCAATTGTTAATTTTTCGCATAATCAATGCAAGCCTTCATGACTCTCAAAAACCGTGACACCCACAGTTTAATTGTGAAGATAAATTTAGCGCCTCCCTAAAAACCCTATTTAAATTCGACACAAACCTTAAAATAGGTATATAATGAGACATTATATAAACTCTTTATAGTGTTTTATTTACATTTTAGAGGTGATAAGTTGGACAAATCGAGTGAAAAAAGCCAGTTCCCCACACGACATATCTCCCCCTTTCACTATGACGCAGTAGCTTTCGCTTCCCCACCCACCATTTAAAAAAAGACCCGGCGGAGCTCCATTGCTTTCTTCGATCATGCAGAGAAGGGCAGCGTGAAGGTCTCGTCATTGACTTTGCTGGAAAGGGGAGAAATTGTGCTTTACAATGGTATTCATATTACAGTTTTTGGGGTGCTAAAATAAGGTTAAATGTATGGAACAGCGCGTTGTACAAAAGTGCGTTAGCTAACGTTAATATCTGAACCTGTAGCCAGACTCTTACCCGTATACATGGATGAACGCTTCACGGCAGACTGCAACCCCTTTCATTAAATAAGACGTCCTGTGTCGTTTCTGTTTTTGTTTGTACAACTTGCTTGGCTCGTTGTGTCAAGTCACTCTGGTTCACACTGGCCGTGTGCAATGCCATATGAATCATCAGATCTTTCTCCCTCTCTGTCACGGATGCCATGGTTGCCCTTAGTTTGAAGATGTAATCCGGACACAGGTGTTTTATACAACAGCCTTCTGTGTTCTCTTTTCGACTCCCTCTGCATTTGCAATCAAACGGCAGAATTGTATTAATCTCCTTAGCATACGTTGCTTCTACCAGACATTCTACTGATTTCAAAACTCCATCAACTTCTTCTGCGACAACAACACTGTTGATCGTCGTTACACGGCAGACCAATCCGAAACTCATCTCTCGGCATGTCCAGCCCATTCATTATCTCAGCCAATCATGGCTAGTGGGAAGGTTCCTGTCTTTTTCTGTTGCTAAATCAACTAGGCTCGTAATTTAACAACTGTATTTGTATTTACAGATGGCATATACGTTTGTTATTAAGGCACATGACAGTTCAAATGTTCGAGAAGGCATTTCTGCCAAGAAATGCATTTTGATAAAACATTTAAATAAACGTTGAAATGCCTCTCCTGTGAAGCTTTTGTTTAGGCCTCTAGAAGTGCAAGTCATATAAAACACCTAGTATTCATTAATATGCTTTAATTTACAAATGCCTAGCAGCCAACCTGCTTGCTACAATCCCTTGTAATTACAGTAAAATACTATTAAAATAACTTTCTTACAGTTTATTAGTCACTTTTTACAGTATTTTACTGTGTTTCGTTGCTTTGACATCATATTCATTTACAGGAAGCTTTCATCAATTTACCATCTCAGTAATGTATTGGCACTATCCAGAGATAGTCAGATATATCATAAGATATCTTGTTGTAATTACAATTATTCTTGAAGACCAGTTTATCCTTAACTATAACAACATTTTCAGTAATGGTTAGCGAAACCTTTTACTTGCTATGACTGTGATATGTGTTATTTATTTTTTATAAACCTTTGTTTATAAACTGTAAGTTGCCAAGGACAAGAGCGCCCGCTAAATGACCAATAAATGTAGTAAAAATGAAAACTTGCAAAGAACACTGGGTAACATGTTACTGGGTAATTACAGTAATATGCTGTAATTGGTACTGTAAATTCGATTACAGTAACATGTTTGGAACTGTGAAATAAATTGCCAATTGCTGCCAGTAAGATACTGTAAGTTTGACAGGAAATGTTTTACAGTGTACTAGGGGAAATAACAGCGTGTGTGTGTACATGCGTCTGCGTGTGTGCGTGTGTATGCGTGCTTGCATGTGTACAGTCCATGCAAATGCATTCATGGCTGTTACATTATTTCCAATGACACAGCATGTTTTTGTTTTGTGTAAGTGTGTGTGTTCTGTGTGTGTGGTGGCGGAGATGATGGGTGGATACTTTGGGTTTGGAGCAGGTGATTCAAAGCTGTTGCCTCATACAGCATACGTCCTAAGTGGCCCTATGGGCACTAAATATGGAATAGGGTGCCATTTGGGACACACCCAGTATATGGAATTTGTTTGTTAGTATCCATGACCCTCACTGACCTGAGCTCTGATTCCATGGTTCATGTTTATGCTCAGTATGCACATTAATTTGTATGGTTGGATTCTCCTTCTACATGGAACGCAACATGATTGAAAATGACAGATTTATGGATTCAGACCCTCCTGTGTCTGACAGTCTGTCAGGCAGGGACAGACTGGGACCCGACTGGGACCCACACTGGACCATTTTCTTCCTCGAAGCCCCCATTAATTAGCCAAATAATGATCATTATGTGCAAACCCCCCCAATTTAGACAGGCCCACTGGGCCAAAGTTGGACCAACCCATGGCCAGTTCGTTTATGCTGTCAGGTGACCTGTATTACAAGTAAATTAATTTATCTTCCCTTCAAGATATGTTTCTCTCTCTGTTAACTTCCAAGGTTTAAAAGTTGACTTTCATAATGTTCACAAAGTTGTCCTGTGTTGAGACAGTTGAGACTTTCCTTCCTGGCGCAACAGCAAATTCCTTTCACTGTATGTGTTCATGAAAAATTCAACAGTATGGAGAAACTAGCTGCTGCATTCTTTTATTTATTTTACCTCGTTCCTGTTACAAGATAAAAATAGCAAAGTTGCTCACACAGATAAAGGACCACCCATCCTATTAAGTAGACAGGAGACAGTCAATGAAAGTACATTACTTCATATCACAATGATGTAATCTTGATTATGTACTTCTATTTCATGCATCTCATGTCTTTTATCTTTCCCAACACTGCCTACATCTGTTTAGGGCACATATTCTGACATCACAAGATCCGCCAGTATGTAGTCTCAGCACAGAAGCAACACGTCTGTCAGTGGTGGCTCATGGCACTAAATCGGAGGACGGGCTCATATTGAATGGAACAGTATCAAACACATGCTTTCCATGTGTTTGATACCAGTCCATTCCAATCATTACTATGGGAGGTAATGGTGTCTGTCCATTATCTCCCATATAACAGCCTGATGATCTCATTACTACTACTAAGGACGTGTACGTGCTTGCTTGTGTGTTTACTCGCTATGAAACGCCACAGTGACAAACACTAGCCTATAGAAGAAAAACAGTGTTTGTTATCTCTCCTACGGCAGTCAGTGAATAATGAACTCTGTAATAAAAAGGCTTCTATGAGGTGAATATCAATGAATCTCTCTCTGGATGCTCAGTCATCATTACGGAGAGAGCTGAGCGCTGTGCGACGCTAATTATGTAACGGTGGTGCAGCACAGGGGCAGTTAATGACTTTAATAGGCCCATACGCACGTAACACACACAAGTGCGCTCACACCCGCACACCAAATTACTTTAAAGCTAGAATCCTTAATTGAAAAAAATAACAAAGGGGCACCCCGCCTCTGTTTCGGTAAAAAGCGAAGGGATGGGCCTGGAGAAATACTGGAGAAATGTATCCACTTTTAAATTCATAGAAAGAGCTATGGATGCAAAGACTGACCATCCATTATATTAAAATTATAGTTTTAACCATGTTTTGAGGCTATACAGTATCTGTTTACATTTACTTTGTTTACAAACATTGGAGAAAAAAGGCTTATATTTTGGGTTCTGATGGGGTATGACAGTTAAACTAAGCTCACAAAGCATTTATATATTATATTCTTCAAGACTCAATGATTATATACTGTGTCATTAAATTATAAGTCCAAAATTGGATGTAGCAACTATGGATTCTAGCATTAATAGTCCTGGGGACTACAATCAACTCCTGATGGGGCATCATTATACAAACAGAAAGATAGCTAGCTATTGCTGCTCGGTGGAGAAAAGAGGGACATTGGGATTGGCTCTTGTCTCAGTAACACACCATCCTATTGGGTGATCGCAAAAGCTCCTTTCAGAATGTCTAATATAATGTTCGTGTTCCAAGCAGACTACATTGCAGACATTGCATTGCATCACTCAATGGTTGTGTGCCACGTCATCAGATTGATATACAGTGCAGTCGGAAAGCTCCCCCGATTACTCAGTTTGGCCGGGTGGCCAGCTCTAGAAAGAGTCTTGGTGGGTCCAAACTTCTTCCATTTAAGAATGATGGAGGCCACTGTGTTCTTGGGGACATTCAATGCTGCAGCAATGTTTTGGTACGCTTCCCCAGATCTGTGCCTCGACACAATCCTGTCTCGGAGCTCTACGGACAATTCCTTAGACCTCATGGCTTGGTTTTTGCTCTGACATGAACTGTCAACTGTGGGACCTTATATAGACAGGTGTGTGCCTTTCCAAATCATGTCCAATCAATTGAATTTACCACAGGTGGACTCCAATTAAGTTGTAGAAACATCTCAAGGATGATCAATGGAAACAGGATGCACCTGAGATCAATTTTGAGTCTCATAGCAAAGGGTCTGAATACTTATGTAAATAAGGTATTTCAATTTGATTATTTTAGAAATTTGCACAAATTTCTACAAACCTGTTTTCGCTTTGTCATTATGGGGTATTGTGTGTAGATTGATGAGGAAAATGTGTAATTTTATAAATTTTAGAATAAGGCTGTAACGTAACAATATGTGGAAAAGAGGGGAGGGGTCTGAATACTTTCGGAATGCACTGTATCATATTATGTGGTTAGCTGATATGTTAAACATCTATCCAGGTGTTCTGACATCTGGTAGACGTCTGCAATGTCGTCAGCCTGGAACACAACCATAATCTAGTGCAATGCCTTTGATCAGAGCCAAATGGATCCTGGTCAAAAGGAGTGCACTAAATAGGGAATATGGTGCCATTTGGGACACAAACACTTTATTCAGTTGATATGTTTACTTGTCTCTGTTTATTCAAACCCATAAATAAAACCACAGTCTAAACTGTGAAGATTATTATTTTATAGCCAAAGAGAGAGAACAGGCTTTTGGTGAAAAATAATGACATCCATTTTGACAAAAAAACTCCCTCTGTCTGTATTATTTGAGTCAAACTAATTTGTTCCTGGCCTAGATTTCCAATTTCTTCATCATTCTATTTTGACGGAAACAGACTTCCTGAATAAATTAATGCATTATAATAACAACATAAAGTAATTTCAGAGAGAGAGAGAGAGAGAGAGAGAGAGAGAGAGAGAGAGAGAGAGAGAGAGAGAGAGAGAGAGAGAGAGAGAGAGAGAGAGAGAGAGAGAGAGAGAGAGAGAGAGAGAGAGAGAGAGAGAGAGAGAGAGATAACACAGCTTGTTATTCTGTTATGGAGGATGAGACGCGCGCACGCACGCACAGGTCTACTGATCAGTCAGCGGATGGATGGAGACTGTGGAGGGATAGAGGTCCTGTGGTCTTCATACATACATTTAGATCAAGTTTTTTGTCCCCTCTCTCTTTCCTTCTTTCCCTCTACCCTTATGTCAATGCTTATTCCTCTTGCGCCACTCTCTCATCCCTTGTCTCCCCCTTTCTCTTCTCTCCTATTCCCCTCCTCTCCCCCTTCCTCTGTCTCCTCAGTCTCCACCCCTCACTGCACCAGTCCCTGTGTGCCCCTCTTTTGTCCCGCGTTCCATCCATCAAAGAGTCAGTGATCACGTTTGATTAATTGTGGTAACCACACTCTAGTTTAAGGAGGGCATACATAATTAAGGAAGACTGGACCTGGAGGGAGAGAGTCACAGGAGAGAGGGAGGATGTATGTGTACGTGTACATGTGTGTGCGTGTGCGTCCTGTTTGAAAACAATTTAACTTGCTACACATTCATTTATGTGTTCATATAATGTTGTTTGTCCAATGATTGTATGCTGTTGAACTTTTATAATTTCTCATAGAAAGAAGGTAAGCTACAGTGGTGGAAAAAAGTATTTAGTCAGCCACCAATTGAGCAAGTTCTCCCACTTAAAAAGATGAGAGAGGCCTGTAATTTTCATCATAGGTACACGTCAACTATGATGAAAATATCCAGAAAATCACGGTGCAAATTATGGTGGAAAATAAGTATTTGGTCAATAACAAAAGTTTCTCAATACTTTGTTGTATACCCTTTGTTGGCAATGACACAGGTCAAACGTTTTCTGTAAGTCTTCACAAGGTTTTCACACACTGTTGCTGGTATTTTGGCCCATTCCTCCATGCAGATCTCCTCTAGAGCAGTGATATTTTGGGGCTGTCGCTGGGCAACACGGACTTTCAACTCCCTCCAAAGATTTTCTATGGGGTTGAGATCTGAAGACTGGCTAGGCCACTCCAGGACCTTGAAATGCTTCTTACGAAGCCACTCCTTCATTGCCCAGGCGGTGTGTTTGGGATCATTGTCATGCTGAAAGACTCAGCCACGTTTCATCTTCAATGCCCTTGCTGATGGAAGGAGGTTTTCACTCAAAATCTCATGATACATGGCCCCATTCATTCTTTCCTTTACACGGATCAGTCGTCCTGGTCCCTTTGCAGAAAAACAGCCCCAAAGCATTGATGTTTCCACACCCATGCTTCACAGTAGGTATGGTGTTCTTTGGATGCAACTCAGCATTCTTTGTCCTCCAAACACGACGAGTTGAGTTTTTACCTAAAAGTTATATTTTGGTTTCATCTGACCATATGACATTCTCCCAATCCTCTTCTGGATCATCCAAATGCACTCTAGCAAACTTCAGACGGGCCTGGACATGTACTGGCTTAAGCAGGGTGACACGTCTGGCACTGCAGGATTTGAGTCCCTGGCGGCGTAGTGTGTTACTGATGGTAGGCTTTGTTACTTTGGTCCCAGCTCTCTGCAGGTCATTCACTAGGTCCCCCCGTGTGGTTCTGGGATTTTTGCTCACCGTTCTTGTGATCATTTTGACCCCACGGGGTGAGATCTTGCGTGGAGCCCCAGATCGAGGGAGATTATCAGTGGTCTTGTATGTCTTCCATTTCCTAATAATTGCTCCCACAGTTGATTTCTTCAAACCAAGCTGCTTACCTATTGCAGATTCAGTCTTCCCAGCCTGGTGCAGGTCTACAATTTTGTTTCTGGTGTCCTTTGACAGCTCTTTGGTCTTGGCCATAGTGGAGTTTGGAGTGTGACTGTTTGAGGTTGTGGACAGGTGTCTTTTATACTGATAACAAGTTCAAACAGGTGCCATTAATACAGGTAACGAGTGGAGGACAGAGGAGCCTCTTAAAGAAGAAGTTACAGGTCTGTGAGAGCCAGAAATCTTGCTTGTTTGTAGGTGACCAAATACTTATTTTCCACCATAATTTGCAAATAAATTCATTAAAAATCCTACAATGTGATTTTCAGGATTTTTTTTCCTCAACTTGTCTGACATAGTTGACGTGTACCTATGATGAAAATTACAGGCCTCTCTCATCTTTTTAAGTGGGAGAACTTGCACAATTGGTGGCTGACTAAATACTTTTTTCCCCCACTGTATTTACTTTTCATATGTTGCATTACACCAATATGTATGAATGGTGGAGTTG